TGGAAGGCTGAGCTGCACCCGCCGCAGCGGCTCCCACTCCGGGAGTAGGAGGGTGGGGGAGTGATTATGTATGCACCAGCTAATTCTTCCATCAAAACTTCTTGTCAGCTATGTCAGGATTATTTTTTTTCCTTTTTATAAAAACACTTGATGTTTCAGGAAGTGTTAATCCCTGAAGGTTGGGGAATGAGGGCGGGGGTAAGGAAAAGAGTGGGTGGGGGGTGACAGTTTCTTGAGCCTGGGTAAAATACCCTTTAGAACCGTTTGCCAGCCAACATGGAATTGGGGTTTGTTGTGGAGCTGGGACGGAAGGAGGGTTTCTTCGAGTCATGGGAGGAGAGACCCTTACTCTCTGCATTTGATAGAGATTTCTATGGCCATGAGGGATGAAGAGCAGAAAAGTTCGCTTTCGCCCCTGATTTAGGGATGTTTAACCCAGGCAGTGAGATGACAAAAGACACAGAATTTTGAAATCATTTTTTTAAAAGATATAGAATGCAAGTCATGGGTAGCAAGATAAAAATATATAACTAGGGGCTGGGATTGCTTCTTTCCTCCCACTTTTTCTTGGGATCGCGTATCTTGGGTTTTACTTCCAGCTCCCAGACCTGCCTTTCCTTAGGTGACAGAAATGGATGATTTCTTCAAGGGGAGAGATTTGGCTATTTTCTACATCAGATGACTCTAAGAATAAACTCATACTTCTCCGCATGCAGGTGGAGGAAATTCTAAAACTTTTTTGTGGCTCTTAAAACTAGTGCAGAATAGAGAAAGGTGGAGCGTCATCTGACCCAGCCTGCTGCAGAGCGCAAAAAGAAACAAAGAAAGAAAAATGAAACATGCTAAGCAATGAAGGAAAGTTGTGAATTATAAACATATTTTCAATTTTGTATTTAAAAATATTGCCTAGATTTAGGAGAATGTTTCTTCCACAATTAGACCACAACTTGCGGGACCACAAAGTCCCAGGCTTATGAAATGCAAGACCAGGGAGGAGGGGGCTGGGGATTGTTGCTTCTGCCCCTCCACCCCACCCTTACCCATTTTAGAGCGAGTATGTGAGAGAAGATATTAAAGAGGTATCTGTTGTTTGGCAATTTTGCTAAGTCTGTCTTCATTACTTCGATGCTGTGCATTTGCTAATTTGGAGGCCCGGCCATTGACAAGCTTGTTCCATACACCTGCAAGCAATTTGCCGGCTCCGGTACCGGAGAATTGCAGAGATGGCAGCTCGCACCTATTTGATTTTTTTTTTTTTCCTTTTCTCAATGCACAGCAAATTTGGCTTTCAGTGCGTTATCTCTTTTGTTAATGCAAAAAGATTCCCTGGGCGAAAAAATTGCTCATAATTACCAGAGAGATGGGGAAACTGCATTAGAATAAATAAACCTGAAATTACTGTAATTATGTTGTGTTTGATGGGCCCGGCTTGTAATCAAGAAGAGAATACAGTGAAATGATGCTGACCCTCTTGGGTTTGCAGCTGTATGCGCACTTTGGGGTCTTTTTTTGCAGAAAAGAGTCATTTTGATAATCATTAAGCTGTGTGTAACCTATTTCAGAAGTGTTTTAAAATGAGGTTCACATTTTTTGAACAAGGGGAAAAAAATCCCAAAATTGCATTTTGCCATTACAGACTCATACATAAGGAAAGGTTGTGTTTTCTAAGTGACAATTGTTAAGACATAATATTCAAAATCAGTATTTAATCATTATAATGAGGTATTGTTTAAATATAACCACCTTTAGATTATTCATAGTTTAATTAATGTACTCATTATGAAAATCTTTGAATCAGATATTTGATGAACTACTTGTCAGTAACAAGGCAGCATTAATTAGGCCTATATTGAGATTAACATTTTTTAAAAGTACAACCGCTTATAATTATAATAGAGCCTAACTAAAGACCGCCTTCATTGAGCTAAAACTAATAATTTCTCTATTTGAACTGTTAGCAAGAGATTATTAAATTAGTATAAGCTAATACCTCAAAGTATTAAAATCCGCTTGACCAAACAGATTTTGTCTGTGGCTTCAGGCATTGGGCCCTGTCTGCCGTCTGAGGTACCAGAGTTGGATGCATGGAGGAAATCTGCCAAAACCTCCCCTCTAGCAAAGTCACATCTTGCAAGGGAAACCAAATCTAGGAAGGTCCCTGCCTCCCCGCGGGATCCCACCCAGGGAAACCAGTTCTCTCTCCTTAGCTTCTGCCATCGTCTGCCCAGCCAGCATCCAGGTCTCCGAGGTCCCATAGCCCCCATTAGCGCTCCAGGTTCTGGGGGCCTATAGAAGAGGAAAAGCTACAATCTCAGGCCCTGAAGGAGCCTCGAGGTAACGGGCTCCATCCCCTACTACCTCCCTGCTCCCTCCATCACTAACCACCCCCCCAACTTCCCCTCCCTCTCCTAAAGGGCGTCGGAAAAGCCTGGCGCATCTGATCTTTCACCAGCACCAATTGAAAAATGGGTGCTTGTCACAACACAGATCACTGCCTTCCTCTCTGCTCCCCACCGTGCGCTGCAAAGGCCCCCCAAAGGCAGAGGGCCAGCCCCCGCGGGAAGCAAGTCGAAGGGCGAGTTTGAGGGAAGCGGGAATCCTTCAAAGCAGCCCGTCGGGCCCACAGCTTTCCTGAGCTCTTTCAGCTCGCTGTGGGGCCTGGGGCTGAGGTTGGTCTGAGGCCCAGGAGGAGTGTGCCAAACTGATATTAGCGGCTCAGGGCCCACCTTCTTCTGGAGTGAACTGATCAAAATGGTCACTGGAGGTGCCCCTTAATCACCTGGCCTTGGGACTTTGGGGATGGTGGTGGGATAGGGGTTTGATTTGAGAAGCTCTCAGGTTCCAATGAGTCAGCGGAGCCCACCTGCCCCTCCCTCGGCACCTCAGCACCTCCTAGTCGCAGAGAAAAGCCTGGGGTCATTAGGCAGGCAGGGGCCTCTCGTTTTGGATGGGCCTGGGTGGGAGTGGCTCTGGAGGGGCCCAGTGGCGCCTAGGGACTGTCCCCCAGAGCTTGCTGATTGATTGGGGGGTAGCCTGACAGACGTGTCCTTCCGGCCCCTTTCCGGGCGTCTGGCCTCCTCTTTTCCGCGTCGGGATCCAGCGCCCTGCGGGCCAGAAAAAGCCGGGAGGTCAGATCCCGGCAGAGGCAAGGGGCAAAGGGTGTCTCCACTTTCAGGCTTCCAGGCCTCACGGGCTGGCTGGGCACAGGGGACACACACGTCTCACAGGGTGGCTGCTTGGGGCTCTGCTTCCATCTCACCTCAGACGGCCTTCGCAGTCCCTTTGGTTCCTGAGCCCTGGCTCTGCCAGGCTGCACCTCTTCCTGATTCCCCTTCCCAGGGACCCTGGCCAGTACCCTCTCACTCAAGCAGGGGTCAGACCCTTGATGGGCAGGAGCTCAGCTTGAGGAATGGCCCTAGCAGGGGCTTCACAGGCCTCCGCTGTTATCCTGCTATGCCTGGAGCCAGGAGGGGCTGCCCCTGTCTTTTCTGTCCCCAGAGGTGGGAGCCTGCTGGTGGGGCCCCAGCACCCCCTCACACAGCACACCAGACAGCCAACTCTTTCTTGAAACCATAATTTTACTGTCTCAAAGAAACTTTATAACTTATTTACAAAGTTCTTTCCCCCCCCCAGGTACAAAGCAATAAGTTAACATTCTCAATATAAAACTAAACTTTGACATAGAGAACACAAAACACGGTTGATTTCAATTGATCACATTTTCCAAATTTCACAAGTAAAATGTCAAGATTCTCATTTCACAAAGCATTGGGTTTTACAGCCACACACAACAGAACGGAAAAAAGCTAAGTTTGTGCAACATGTTTACAGAACAATAATAATAACAATAATAATATGTACAGCAAATAGATCCTGCACCAGAGACTGTGCATTCAAGGTGGTGCTCTGTGGTCAAGCCTCTGGGGATTGTTGTAAAGCTGCTTTCATCTTACTTTACCCCTGGCATTAGGGCATTGGCACAACCTGCCTGTTTTTTTTCTCTCCCTGCCCATCAGTTCGCGCTCTCTCTCTCCCCACAAGGAAAGAATTAGGATCTTTCTTCTTAACCAGGTAAAGTGATCAAACGTTCTTCTCGAGATGAGGAAATTTTGTTGGCTTCATTTCTTTCTCTATTTTCTTCTTTTTTTAAAATAATACGGGACATGTAAAAAATGCAAACCATTCGGCTCCAACCTCTCCATACCAGCGAAGTACAAAAGTTACTGTATAAGTTAAAAATCACCAGGTCCTCCTCATTCGTTTTTCCGAGTGCGTTTAAAGGAATGGGTACGTTTGGACCCTGCTCTCCTCGCGCCTCCCAAAATCGCGAATGGGCCGAACCTTCCTTCAGCCTCAGGAGAAGTCCATTTCTCAATAAATAAAAACCCCCTCCCTCGTTTCCCCCAATCCCCGAACGAGCCACGCCGATGGTTAGGCAGGCCCAAGAAAAGGTCCGAAAAGACAGAACGAACCAGTATCCGGAGCTGGGTGGCCCGGTGGACCAAGCCTCCTCCGACCTGGTGACTTGTTTCAGAGGCCAAAGAACTAGGACAGCGGACGGACGAGAATCTCGACTTCGTCAGCGCACAGATACAGAGCGAAAGGAGACAAGAGACGGACAGGACAGAAAAGAGCTTTTGCTTTTTCTACATGGTTTTGTTTTCCTGATAGCCCCACACAGCTGAGGGTCGGCGGTCGGGTCCGGCGGATTCTGGCTGCCTTGCCCGCTGGCTCGGACCGCTGTACCTGCACTTCCAGGCCGCTTTCTGCTGTCACTGCGCGGCCGAGGTCGGGCGTGGGCACCGGGGAAGTCGCCGGGCCAGAGCGTGCGAGACTCCGAGGAGGCGGCGGGCGTCCTGCCTTCATTGTTCCTTCTTCTTCCCCTCTGGGCCCTTCTCCTCCAGACCCAGGGCACGCGGACAGGGTGGATGGACCGGGAGGCGGGAGGGGCCCGGGCCGTGGGAGACGGGAAGGAGGCGGGCGGGTGCGGGCGCGCCACCTCACATGAGTTGGGGTTGCTGCAGAGCTTCTTGGTGCGCCGAGGGATACCACGACGTGTAACTGGGGATGTAGGAGCCCGCGCTGCCGCCCGAGCCCTTCCCGGAAGAGGAGTTGGGGTTCCAGCCGGGCGGCACCGGCGGGGAACCCGCAGACAGCGCCCGGCCGTTGGCCAGCGCGCTACCCTCCAGAGCCGCCCCGCCCTGCTTCATCAGCTTCTTGAACTTGGAGCGCTTGTTCTGGAACCAGATCTTGACCTGCAAGAGCGGACAACAACGTGACTCGGTCTAGGTCCACTGTGCCTACCTTGGTCCTGGGGAGATAAGGGAGCCGTGGGACAGCGTTAAGAGGATACGAGGATACCACCCCCCACGCTCACACACCGGCCCCCTGCTCTGCGCAACCCGGAGGCTCCCTGCTGGAGAAGCAAACACGTCGTCCTTCCCGCCTAAGAACCGAAGGCTGGGAGGCCTCACCGCCCGCCCGGGAGGCCGGCTGGAGCGGCTCTCTGAGAGCCAGGGGGCGTGGTGGTGAGCGGCGCCGGGATCCAGGCCTTCAGCCCGAGGCCGGCAATCGTCTGGGTAAGACACAGAGCCCGCAAAACACCGAGCCTTCAATTCCAGTGTGAACATCAATAAAAGAGTGGAGAAAAGAAGTGGAGGAAATTTATTTGCAGTGCGACCCGCCTTCTCTTTGCTTCATCATCTCTGCCCTTGAGTGAGCTGCGGGCTGACTGAGGAGGCCACCGGGTTTTGTTAAACTTTTCGTTTGGACTCAAATCAACCTTTCCTTAGTTAGCATCTCCCAACTCTGCTCCTAATCCCGGCCTGGACGTTGGAAACCCGCGGCAGTCGTGATCAGAACGTCCAAGGGGTCCCCAGAATCTTAGAGAAAACAGGGAAGGAAGGGTCCATTTCTCTTCCAGGTTCTGGGACTTGGTAGGTGAGAGGGCGGAGGAAAGGATCTCCCCCCGCCCCCAACCAAACTCGGTAAGGAGAGAGACAGAGGCTTGGGCCCAGGCCCCGAGTGATTAGTCATACACTTTAAAGGCAAAGAAGGGATTAACCCCCGAGTCTATTGTTCCAGTTGTTCGGGCACGTGTGACCTCAGAGTCCCCAAACAAAACGCCTAGGGAAATCCTTCTTGCGCCCCTAATCAGATTGTCCAGGGACGGAGGGCCGCGCGGCTGGCAGCGCGGAGTTCAGAGTGCAGCGACAGAGCCAGGGCAGAGAAAACTAGGGAGGAAGGAGAGATGTTGTGAGAGCAAGGGACAGGACACACAACACACACGCATACAGACCCCCGAGGCCCAGAGAGCAAGAAATGAAGCTCCAGGGGGCAGGTGGGCCGCGGGAAGCCTGCACGGCGCCACGGTGGGGCAGCGGCGAGGTACCTGCGTCTGCGTGAGTCCCAAAGAGGCCGCGAGCTCCGCCCTCTCGGGCAGAGCTAGGTACTGAGTTTGCTGGAACCTCCGGTTCAAAGCCTGCAACTGCAAACTGGAATAAATCGTCCTGGGTTTGCGAATCTTTTTCCCCTTGCCATTGAAGCGCACTTCACCGCCTTCCACCACCGTGCTCTTCTCCGAGTCAGCACCTGGAGGGACAGCAGAAGTGGGGGCCGTTGTTAAGGTGAGGGACTGCCTTGAGTGTGGGAAGCCGAGAGCAAGTAACCTCAGAGGGGTGACAGAGGAAGGAGCAGGAGGGAGATCGCTCAAGAAACTCCGAAAGCCGGGGAAGGGTCCGGCAAAGTCCAAAGGGCCCGACCCCGGGCGCTGCAGGCGGACTGGGCCAGTTTGCAGGCGCGCAGCTCCTGCCTTTACAGGGAAAGTTTGCTATTTTTGCAGGCGGTAGTTGAGGTTTAATTACCCTTAATTGCATACATTGTTTATAGCGCTACGCAATAAATAATTACCGAGACTAATACGTGCACATGTGGGTTTCTGTTTTCCAGCAGGGCATTGTGTGCTTGGCGCACGGAGCCGCCCAGAGGCCCAGCCAATGCCAGGGGACGCTCTTGGATTTATCCTTTGCTGGATAGTTGCAAATTGGGTGGATATATATTTTTTTAATTTCTTTCCTATGACAGGGATGCAGAGATTGATACCCGAAACCTTTCACTGCTCCGGCGCCCTCCCCACCCCCATCCCACCTCTCTCTCCTCCTCTCCTCTCCCTCCTTTCTCTCTCTCTCCCCCCCTCCCTTTCTCCCTCCCTCCGTACCTCTTCCTCTCCCTGGCAGGCGCACGTACCTGGGTCCTCCAGGCGGCTCTGGGTGAGGCTGGCGCTGCCCGGGTAGGACTGCACCGAACTGATGTAGGGGCTGGACGCGTGGCTGCTGACCGAGTTGACGTAGGGGTAGCCCAGCGGTCGGGAGAAGGACGAGGCCGAGCTGTAAGCGCCGTCGGGCTGCGAATGGCCCGCCGAGTGTAAACAGTGCATGGAGTAGTGCCCGTGGGACATGGGAGAAGGAGACATTTGCTGGTTGGGCGGCCCAAACTCCATAAACACCGCCTTGCCCGACACGGGGCTGTTGAGACTTTCTGGCATGGTGGTCATGGTCATCTCTTCTCGCGGGGTCTGGGTGTGGGTCTCTCTCTCTCCTCTGCTTCCCTTTTGGGGGTCTCTGTGTTTCTCAGGACAAGAAGGAACCCAATTTAAGCGGAACAGGGGTTTTCACTTTCCATTCATAAGAAAATGGAGTTTGTCTCTTTGAAAAGTCTAAGCATGATGCTGCCGAGCTCCCCAAACTCGCTTCAAAGCTTTGACTCAGCCAAGGTCATAAATATTCATGAGCTGGCGGAGCTGATTGGTCCGCTGTCTTGCATAATCACCGGGGATTGGTCCGAAGCGCTCCGGCTCCGCTGGACTAGAGCGGGCGAGGCTGCCGGGCCTCCGGAGAGACGCATCCACACTTCCAGGCCGGGGCTCCTCTGCAACAGAGCGCACAGCGTGAGGCGCACAATGGGCTGCGGCGCCCGCGCGGGGCCCTCCGCGGCCCGCGGCTCTTCAGCCTCCCGTCTCCGGCGCGCTTTGCTTCCCAGAAAGCAACTAGCGGGTTGGCACCGCCGCCCACCACCTCCTATAGTCCCCACCCTCCGCCCGCCCCCAACACCGGGGCCCAGGGCACCTCTTCTTCTAACCGTCGCTACTCGTCCGGTGCAGAACTAGGGCGGCTCTGGAGCCCGGCCACGGCCTCGCGTACGCTGAGTCGCGCAGTCCGGGCGCTGGAGGAGGGCAACAGAGCGCTATCCTCCGGAGAGTCTTGTGCCTAACGCAGCGCTCTCCTGGCCGCGCCTCCCTGGCTTGGGTCCCCTCTGCCACATCCCTGGGGGCGGGTTTGGGGCCCTCCGGGCAAACTCACTCACTCGGCCGCCGCGCCGCCGCCGCTCTCTGGGGCCCGCTCGCATTGCTCCAGGCCAAGCTGGCTACTCCAGCTCGAGGCTGCACCGGTCTGATTAAAACAGTGCGAGTAGAGAGCCAGGAACCCGCGCTTCTCCTCCCAGGAAAGGCTGCCGCACCGCCCCCCTCCCCGCAACACCCACCCCCTCTTTCCCTCCCAACCTTCCTCCGCCTCCCCCTCCCCTCTGCATTCCCTCTGCGCGGAGCGCCCCGGCTCACTCGCCCCAAGGACGCGGCAGAGTGAAGCCTAGGAGCTGGCGGGCTCCGTTCGGCTTGAGCCGCTGGTGCCGGGTGGTCATTTTCCGGCCTCCTGGGGTCTGGCGATAGTACCCGAGGTGCAGGAGTATTGAGGGACACCAAAACCCGCGGCAAAACCAGGCCAGTCGTAGGCTCGCGTGTCTCTCGGTGGACACGTCTCTCATGGTCGCCCAGGATTCTCATCTCCAGGGTCAAAGCGGGCGCCACCGAGCCCAGGGCAGGGCTAGTGGGGGCAAAAGCTGCCAAGGCGCCTTCTATCTTCTGGAGCGCTAGGTACAGAAAAGCGCACAAAAGCTCCCCCCCACCCCCGCAGCCACCACCACACAGCCACCACCCCCCGTGAGGCGTGGCGCGCACCACGCTGGCTGCGAAGGGGCTGTTGGTTTCCTATCCCGCCAACCCCACGGTGAATCCCAAATTACTTTGTTAGGTAATTAGAAAGTGTTGATAATTATTTCTTTCATAATTTAGCGGTGTGACGGGAACGGGGAAATGATCTTGTGAAAGTTCACACGTGCAGATGTATTAGTTACTGATTCATTTGATTAAATGGTAGTCTCAAGTGCTCAGATCCGCAGCTGAAGGCGCCCCATTAGCATAACACTGATGTTTAATTTTCATACGCATAATTAGCCATATATTTAACACTAATAGCAACATGCAGCCTTTCAGCGTTAAACAGCCCGGGATTTGATCTGGCCTGAGCTGAACCTTCGCCGATGCACCTTCCCCTGTCTAGAGTGCGCAATGATCACAGGACAAACCTCTGTAATCAAGCACATTTTGGCAGAGGGAACACCAATAAAAATGAACATTCAAAACAAATTACATCGGTGCTGTCGTTACAGATATTAGCGGAAGGGGCTTCTCCTTTTTAACTTCTGTAGCAGCAGCTGCTGCCCGCGGAATTCCTCTCCTTTGGTTTAAGAGTGCGATGTTGGGGGTAGAGATATTTCAGGCAGCGTGGTTGCAGCAAAAGAAAAACAAAAGCCAAGCAAAACAAAACAACCAATCCTCCAAACCAATAACGGGTTTGCCAGCGTTTAAAATGATTTTTCTTTTCTTTTTTTCTTTTTCTTTCTTACTTTCTCTCCCCCCCCCCCCTTTTTTCCCCCTTAATCATCGTAGCACACGGCGAGGCTTTGTAGCAACAACCAGCTAATGACTCCGCCACCAGACAACTCCCGGAGCCGTTACACTCCTCTTGATTTCCGTGTTGCACTTGTGATTTTAATTGCTCTTTCCTAGTGCCTGTTTTGGGGTGTGGAGTGAGGTACGCCCTGCACAGCAGCGGATGCCGCCCTGGCCACTTGTCTCCCGCGCGCCTCGCGGGCCCTGCCCACGTAAGTGATCTCCGCGGCTGGCGCGAGGTCGGGATTGGGAAGGAGGGAAGCAGGGCTGGCGATTCCCGGTACTCTGGGCAACGGGCGAGGAAACCCGACGGCTGGGCTGCCCCGGCCAGTTCTTCTTTCAGAGAACTGAAGGGTGGGGGAAGGGGAGAGAGGCGGCCGCAGGTCGCGACGGTCTCTAGGGCTCTCTGGTTCACATCTGGAGGAGGGATCCAAGTGTCGCAGCGCAGGGGACCCGGTTGGATCCGGGGAACAAAGGACCCGCACGGGAAACGGTTTCAGAGCCTGGTTTATTTTTAAAAATTGATTATATCTGGGCGAAGGAGTGTCTACACTCGGAATTATTTCTTAGCCCCAGAGAAGCAGGTTCGGGGAAGGGCGGCTGAACCCGGGCCCTCGGGCTCCGAGACGCCCGGCCTTGACTAGCTTCTCAGTATGTGATCTTACGCCTAAGAGCCGAGGGTGTCTCCCTTCCAACCCCCACCGCGGAGGCGACACCTGTTCTGAAACGCCGCTTTGCTTAGATCTTGGCCTGTCCCATCTCGGAGAGGAAACAAAACTCTCCCATTTATCCTGAGCGCCCCGGATTCCGAGTAGAACCTATTGGAGACTCCACGGACCGGGCGCGTGGTGGTGTTAGCAGTAGTCACGCATGGCTGGAAACCCTGCAACCCGGGATGAGGTTTGGGGCCAGTTCAGTTGTCGGAGTTGAGGGTGGGGGCTTGGACAAGGTATTCTAAAATCTGCTTCTTAACTTCAACTTCAAAGCGTGTTTAATGGAATTCGATCTAATTCAAGTTTGTTTCCTACAGAGCTGCTGACTATTGGCTGGTGCTAGTATATATGCATATATATGTATAATAGTTAAACTTTACTCACTTTAATAAGTAGGATTATGAATCTGTCCCACAAATACCTCCACCTCGGAAAAACTACTGCATAAACAGCGAGTTATCCCAGTGGCTGGTAAAATTCTGTATTCCTAATGAAATTATTCTTGGAGAATCTTGGGGTAAATGGATCTGTGGATAAGATATTGGCTACTCATTGCAATCTGCCTAATCTAGGAAAGAAGTGAAATCAATCTCTGGCAGAACTCTCCTAAGGTGATCTGGGTCTTGTTCCTCTCTAGAAAATTCAGGTTGTTCTGGGGACAGCAGCCTCAGTCTCTAGGCCTTTGCTTGGCTAAATCTTCAGCATACCTAAAGTTTCTCCGTGGATCCTGTAAATCTTCAACCCCTCCCTCATCTTTTCCAGCTCTCAGATCTGCTAGAATTGGAATTACCTCTGTCCAAGCTCTGCCTGGATGAGAGGAAGAAAGCCCAAGAGAATCCCAAGTTCAGGGAAAAGTTCAAACTAGTCACTTTTCCAAGCTCGCTCATTGGCCTCAGTTTCCTGTGACTTTCCCCAGACTCTGAGTGTCACGAAGATGAACTGGCTCTCCAGTCCTATCACAGAGGCCACCTGTCATGGCAGTGACAGGTGTCCACATTTCCTTGGTGCTCTGGAGCTGAGCCCAATCTATACTTAGTGGATGGCAGCTTTTTATAACCTGTTTCAGTAGAAACAACCACTGACCAGTGGAACACCCCAAAATCATGGCCAGGGGGACCCTACTTTGTACGTGGCTTGCTAGAAATCCAACCCTCTCCACCTCTGAGCCCAGGTGTGAAGAGGTCCCCAGGAGCTCGGGTGAGGGAAGATAGAGTACCCAGGATGGGGATGAGCCTTGGGAGACTCAGAGTGTGGACCCTTGGATTTCGCGCTTCTAAAGCAGGAGGAGCTGCTGGCAGGCTGAATTAAACTCATCAGCTCCAATCCTGACTGACTAGGCCCTTGCCCTCAAGAATACCCGTGTCTCCTCTGGAAGGGATGTGCTGGGTCTCCAGTGCATTAGTGCCGGTCTGAAGAAAGCCAGTGTTGGGAGAGATCAATTTAGGGAGAATACCCGCCTGACACTGCTCACATCTGGGCAGGTGGGGCTGATGCTCCAACTCCCAGAGCAGAAAAGCAACTCCTTAGCTTGCCTCTGTATGTTGGTGAGAGGGTCTCTCAAAAGTAACCTTTGGGATGGCCCCACGGAGCAGTTTGAGGGCAGGGAGAAGGAACCACAGGGGACCAGAAAAGGCAAGTTTTTAGACTGATAACCCCAGGCCCCTGGTCTAGAGGCAAAGAAATGTTCGTAACTAACTCCTCCATTCGCCGGCTAATCTTTTCATCGCAAAGCAGCTATGAAGGGGAAAGAACCGGAAGGGCTGAGGGGCAGCTGGCCCCGCCAGCGCCCTCGGGGCCGGCCAATGTGGAACCCACAAGGGGGGTGGAAAAAGAGACCCCCCCCAAAAAAAAAATCGTAACAGCTAGGCTCGGGTTTTTCTTCCTGCGCGCGCGAGTGAAAAGTTAAGAGACTCAAAAATTAACCGTAAGACACAGTGGTTTTAAGGAGTGAACGCTTTCTATTCGGGCAGAGTCAAGGCTAGGGAAAGGGAAAAGTATGCATTGTTAAGACTTCCTAGTCTTCCAAATGAGGGCGTCCCCATTCCTTTCCAGATGCGTTTCCCACGCTGGGAAACAGAGACTGGCTCCAGGATCCGTCTCTCCGAAAGCGCACGGCCACTTCGGGGCTTCAGATTTGTGTTCGGAACGGCTCCCAAGCCCTACCGCATTTTCCCTAGCCGGCGCTGCTAGGTGCTAGGTAGGTTACTCTGGGACCTGCCGTTAGCCAGTTTCTTCTAAAAGTTCTCCAGCTGGATTTCAGCAATTTTATAAAAAGGGCCCCGGGTCTCTTGCGACCTTCGTGTTGCTCCTCAGGCCTCGTGGGGCAGTTTGGTCAGGATCTGCGCGCCCCTCGACGTGATGAGAACTGTGTGCTCGAATTGGGCAGACCTGAAACACACAAGACAGAGATGAGCGAGCTCAAGCGCCGGCGGGGCAGGGATCCGCAGCTCGCCCGCGTCGTGGGACGAACCTGCCCTTCCAATGCAATTTAAAAGCAACCGGGCAGAAAGCAAGCACCTTTGATTGTCCACAGAGACCGCAGTCCATGAGTCCTCCAGCACTTTAAAGTCAGGGGATCCCTCGGTTACAATTGGCTCTGTAAGAAGGAAAATATTTACTGCAGTGATCTAATCAGATTCTTGTCAAACACTGTTTTGACTGATTATTTAAAAAAAAAAAAAGAATAAGAAGGTTCTCCCCCCTCCCTCCCAGTGCTTCCCCCCATGAGTTCATGTTGTCATCTCGCAAGCGCTGATAATTGATGTTGCTTACATAGTATGCTACAAACGAAACAGTAGGAAGAGGAAACGCTATGGCATTCAAAAAGGTATGAAGTTGCCTAGTTCGTAATTTTTTTAGAGAAAAAAGGGCATTTTAATCAAGGCTTAATTAGGACCCTGTGGATAATAACCACCCAAACACCAGTCCCTCTTATAAATATCAGTCGGTTTTTTTAAATATTTGAATTTTTAAAACATGCTCAAAATGTTCATTAATCAGCAAATAACAATTTTCTTATTTCACTCTAATTGCTTCTCCATTAAGCCCCACAGTCAGAAATATGATGCCTTCGGGGCTTTAGGTGATTGGAATTTGGTGGTGACACCAATCACATGATCAGCCAGGAATGGGTCGACAGACAGTATATGCCACTTGCTAACAGGGAGCAAGGGACATAATCGCCTCTAGTTACTGGGTGTTAATGAAAGAAGAAGAAAAAAACGCCCCACAAAAAAGCAACACAAAAAACCAAACACCACATTATGTTGGTAACAGAATTAAAGGTTGGACGGCTGCCGTCTCCTAAATGTGTCGGTAAGTATCTGATTTAGGAAGATGGGGCTCGAGGATATTATTTAATCAGATTTACTATGCATCTGAATTATTTCATTACACTGATTGGCTTTATTAGTCCTTCACCGGACTGCCTGGCCTAGGCCAGCACTGCTGCACCGCGCCAGGGAGCCCCTGCTCTCTGAAGAGGAACTTAGCACTAACCTATGGTGAATGCCATGCCCTCCTCCATGAGTAGATCACTGTCATTCGCTGTAAGACAAAAATACGAGTGTGGGGCGTGGGGATGGGATATGGAGAGAACAGAGAGAAATGGGATTAGAAGGGTTAGGCTGCACAAAAAAAGTGGTCATTTTATGTTTCTTTTAGGAAGAGGTTGCTAGAATCTTGAGTGGTGGCTACCCAGGGATTGAGCACAGGGCTCCTGGGCCCTCAGCCTCTGCATTTTCTGAGCTTGGGGTCAGGGCCCCTAGGAAGGGTGCACCAAGGCTGAGCAGCCCAGGTGCTTGAGACACGTTTTGGGCTCCCCTCTCCACTGTCCCCTTGCTCTGGCCACTTGCTCCAAGGTTTGCTGGCTCCCACCTCCCAATGGAAAGGGGAAGACATCTTGGAAACTGAGACAAAGGGAAGGCAGGTTGGTAGGAGGGAAGAACAGGGGTGACCTGAAATACTTCCAGGGCTTGGCACTGGGGGGGCACTCACCTGAGAGGCCCTTTCTGCACTCCAGCCTGGGCCTCTTATAGCTGCCTCAGGTGAAGTTCTTTGGCCTAAAGGAAGTTTTGACCTGCTGAGTGTCTAGGGATCTTTCAGGGGGTGGATTCCAGCTAGTAGTTCTTCTATGGGGCTGTTCCCACCCCGAAGGACACAGGTCAAAGCGCCAGGATCAACTTTCCTTTGGTGCTTGTCCAGGTATGCATGCCTCTTAGGGACACTCCACAGAACTGCTTCATAGCCTAACCCAAGTCCCCCACCCCTTCTGGCCCACCCTTGCCTTCTCACTGTAGGGAGAACATCCAGGCAGTGAAAAAACCGGAGACTCTGGGTATAATCTAGGAATCACTAAAGAGTACACGCTGCTAAATACATCAGCTGTCAACGCTGTGTAGGATGTAATGAAGTTTAACCACAACAGTCAGCAGTTAGAGAAGGGGGTAGAAAAAGAAAAACAGAAAACAATCATATGTGCATGCTGCTGGGACATTGATGCAGTGGTGTTTTGTTTTCAGTAACTTTTTCTAGACAAATATCCCTTGCGCCTTCCAGCCATCACCCTTCAGGAGAAGACAAAAAGCAAAACAAACCTTATTTGGGGATTGAAATGGCTGGGCTCTAATTCAGTAACATAGTAACATGCTGGTTAGGATTAAATAGGACCACCCCCCCCACCCTCCGCCCCAACACACACACACCCTCATAGGGAAGGATGACAATGTGAATTCCAAGTTGCAGCAAGAGATTCAGGAGCAAAACTGCTTTATCTTGATTCCTTTCAATAAGCAGCTCCCAAACTAACTTTCTTACCATGATGCCAAATTTCTGGATGTCCATGAAAGTAAGATCCTATCCCATGTCCCACAAAATGTGGACAGACTTGCAAACCATTCTGATGAGTTATCTGGCTTTAAAAGTGACCAAACAAAATACTGAATTAAATTGGATCATTTTAAATGCATATATAGATAAGACAAAGTCCCTTCAAAGTATTCTCTGAAAAAGAAAAAAAAAATCAGTTCTATTTAGAGTCATATGGTAACAATTTGTTTTCATTATTCTGGAAAAATTTTATATTTTGTCACAGCTTGCAACAACTCCCTTTGGATACATGAAGAACAAAGATATGTAGCTAACACAATAGTTCACTTCAATTACTTTAGTACAGCACTCAAACAAGGTCACTTTTAGACAATGAGTGTGCATACACATACATACAGTGCAGTGTAACCAAGATATATGTGCAGGTAATGCAGGTCATACAAACCTGCCTGATTTGTATGGAGTTTCATTAAAAGACTGTACAAATTATTACTGACTTGGGAACCAAACAAAAAAAAATTTACAAACTGAAATGTGACTTCTATAATTGCTTATTCTGGTCTATTTCAGAACATCAAACATTTTACAGACACATTTATACAAAAGGTCACATCTGCTTTGTCAATATTCTTGAAGCACTCCAAAACTTTGTGATTATTTGAGATTTCTACTGAAGACCTATACCATTAACAGAGTTCATAAAAGATGCTTTTTAATTGCTATGATGCTTAGAAGAAGCTAGTATTGTGATTCCTAATTCTTAATGCTACATTAGTTACTTCTACATGCAAATCTTTTGGATTCCATTTATTCCATATAAGTGAAAACTTAGAATCCAACCCTAAAATCTTCACCTACAAGATTAAGAAGTTGTTTTTGAAATCAGGTGGACATGTTCATTTCTGGGAGCACCAGAAAGACAAGAATGTACATACCATGAACAATTTATATTTTCATGCAGATGAAGAGCAGAGTGCCTTAACCCTAACCATAATAATGGATTGGGATTTATAGGACTACTATTTAAATTCTTAACCAAACCAAAGTTCTTGGATCCCAAGCTAGTTTTCAGCAGCCCTTCGGTTTGGTTTACCACAAACTCAAAGGCATTTAGCCAGCATCTTTATGAGCATTCCTGTCAAAATACTTTTCTCTAGACATTTTTAACCTTCATCTCCAGACCTGTAAAATGTCTTCACTTAGGCCAGGATGTCACCATAAATATCAGATGGGCAGTCTCTCATTCAGATTTAATTTCCATGTAACAGAAATAGGTGAGCTATACATGTGTTGAGGAGAGGAACAGCAAGTGAATGCTTTTATCTCTTAATTTGTTCTTTATGGTTATACTTATTTCTGTGTGTCTTTTCACTCTGGACAGGAGGTATAACAACTTTTCCAAGTTGTTTCTATTTGTACCACACAATTACTGAATAAAAACTTAGGATGGAGAGTAGATAGGGGCTGGAAGAGAGATTATTCAGTAAGATATGCTGATCTAGATTTTTTTTTTTTCCCAGTAAAAATAGGTCTTATCTACCCATCTACCCATTATAGCTATGTCCCAACAAACCTTAATAATTCTAAGAGGATTCATTATAAACTGTTCTTCTATTTTCTTTTCTTAAAAAAAAAAAACAAACGAACTATTTTTAAGGCTCTAACTGATTGGCAAGCATCACAGCTACACTGTGTATGTGTGTTACAGTGGCAATCTTCATTTTAATTTCTGATGAGAGGACAGGAAGAAAGCCCACTATGAAAAAACACTTGGGGTCCCTCCCCCCTCATATCTCTCATTGCTCTTCATAAAAGAAGCTGTGCAATACTAGGTGGCTAAAGATATCTAAGTGCATTCTACAACAATTTACTGCCTGGATCCTGCTGAAACTTTTGGTTATAGGAGGATCATAGAATATATGTGTCATGGATGCAAAGGTCAGAGGATTTCACAGTTGTGTGGAAAGAGGAAAAGATCAGAACAAATTTCCCTCAGTTCCTTGGTCGAGTACCTGTCTCAGTGGTTGATTCTCAGGAACTAAATAAAAACTCCTGTCTGCTTTTTAGGGTATTTTCCTTTTGGATTGGTAGTTAGCTGTTTTAACACACACTTCCTGGGACTAAATGGAATAAAATCTCATTAATGTTTCTAATTACTGATGAAAAGCATGCCCCTTCTCCTATTCTACTGTGTACTGTTCTTCTATTTTGGAATATAAGGGAAGCCCAAGATTAATTTACATGATTCTAAGATTTAAATCTAACTTCATGGAGACAATCCAAGTGATCTATAGGAGCAAATGTCTGCTCTAAAGTGAAATCAAGTACTAGAGACCCTAGTTGTGGCACAGGAAAGTGGAGCATGCAGGCTTCTGACTAGTGTGTTGGGGAAAGTGGAAGTGTTGGGTGGGCAGGGGTGCCCACAAAGCATACAGTTGCTCCTTAACACCAGCCATCACGGGTTGTGACCTATTTCTGAGCATGAAGGTCTTCTTGTCTTGGATATTACACAGATGAAATCTGCCTTCTTTTTGTTGAAATCTGCTAAAAAGAACTCTCTGAGTATTAGCTCTTCTGTTCTGATTTTTTTAACTAAAAACTCTCTAAGACAGCAGCTCACTTTATTTAAGTCTGAGCACATTTGGGATTTGAAGCCCTTCATATGGAATATTTGGGGAGGAGGAGAGAGATGTGTAAAAGTAGTTTATCAACTTACTTGAAAATTATTCCGTGTTACAGTTCATGTTTCAGGTGTGGTTTAGAGTTAAAAGATAAATCTCTCTTAAGGAATTTCATCCTGTGACTGTTCTCTTAATTGAATCCCCTTTCATGGGATAGTTTTCCTCAATAAAAGTTTTGTCTAGATAAATTAAAATTCTTGATACATTTAAACTATATTTTATGACTAAGAATACATTCCCCAAGAGGGCAGAGGAGTACTATTTTTAAGTACACACTCTTCTAAAGGAATAAAAATGCACATGGAAATAGTTTTATTACTATTTCTACATGAATTCTATCAACAGAACTGATTTCCAAATGGTCACATCTCTAATTAAAGGACCTCAAATGGCACCTGATTTTCTAAGTCATGGAATTTTACTTTATTTTTTTCAGATTTTTATTTTAAGCAGTAGTCTTTGGATGCAGGAATGCACAAATTCAAGGATTCCCTCTAATTGAAAAGGAATGTTTAAGTACAATTAGTAATATTTTTGAAAGCCAACAACTGTTTTCCAAAAGAGGAGTACATTTTTTTTTTTTGTTTCAAACTGGATCACAAATTACTGTATTTTTCTTACAATAGTGCTGAACTTTTATTTGAGGTTTTCTGTTTCTGAAAAGCAGACATGATGGATTGAAATAAAAGATAATTTATTGCAATGCTTACTTTCATGTGCAGAGAGAAGCAGTGTAATTGTAATTTACAGTAGCTGTCAAGAAAAAATCCATCACAGATGACATTAAAATGACTTATTTTGCCTGAGCCACTTATTGTTTAAATGTGCATAATCTAATAGAAAGAGATTATTTTTAAAAATCTGCTTTATATTCTTCTAAATTAATATCAAAACATATACTTATGAATTAAACATTAAAAACCATTCATTGATACTTTCATCATGACATTTACAAGGATAAGTTTAAATTATTTTTGATTGAACTGTCACATATTTGTGATGCATGAATCTACACATTCACAGTATCCTCATATGTACAGCTCATATGTACATGATAATTACAAAAATACAGATTTAGAAATATTTTAACGCAAATAGAGGTACAGTGAGCATAATAACGCTGTAACCTAAAGATCACTAGACATCCCTCATAAAAAAGAAGGGCACAGAGAGAACTCTTTTAGCCAATACTTCTTTGGAGATATCATCCTATTCTTCAGGTTTCAGAGAATTTCAAAATTTCCTATAAAGATCACCAGGTTTTTGACATGACACTACTGAAAGAGTAGAGAGAGGCTTTGCAAACGATGGTGAATATCTTAAACGAGGCTGAGTTGAAAGATGTTTGTAAATCTTTGGTCTATAATGATTCGGAGTACTTCTGGCTAAAGGTGAAGACTGTTTATTTACTCCCTTGAGAGTTTGCCTGAATAAGAAAAGGCGAAATAACAGATGTCCAGAAACACTGCTTTAACACATTAGAACAAATATTTGTTAGACTCAGGGCCAGTTTCCTCCTCAGAGGCAGACACAAACCATCTAAATAATGAAATGCATTAGAGTAACGGAAAAAGTTCATTGTCTATGTTATTTTTCACATAGTTTTGTAAGTGCGGTTGTCGGCACTGATCTGGTTTTCAAAGGAGCTTGTACATGCAAATTCATTCTCTACAAAAACTGACCTTTGCATCCAGATAGCTAAAATTCAATGTCACTTTCAATTTTACTCTTCTTCTTCTTTTTTTTTTTTTTATGTAGCTAGAATTAATGTAGTGAATATGTAATGAAATGCATTATCCTGCATGGAGATTTATCAGATTTTCCGACTGAATGCTATGCTTTGCTAGTACTAGCTGGAGTTCACCTGCATGTTGGTGTGGCGTGTGGCTCTTTTTTGTAAAGAGTTAAGTCGTACACAAAAAAAGGGAACAAAGGTCAGCACCCAGCCGCCACTTGAATGTGAGATTTTTCTTTTTATTCCCCTTGATGTATACTAGGCTCTATGTTATTAGTCTTAATGATGGAAAATTGTAGTGTTGATACAAATCTTTTTTTCAAAGTAGTAGGCGGGAGCTCCATTTGTTAGTAAGTTTTTTTGTGACTAAAAGCCATGGACAGTACATTTATGTAGCAGTAAAAGGCCTAGATGCTCTTTCCATAGCAGAGCTAATTATTCCTACTGTGACCTTACTGATCTAGCCTGTTCCTAGTACGTCTCATCTGCACGCCTGTTCCTCTGTGTAGATGGTGTCAGAGAATATGAAAAACCCTATAATGAAACCATTTTCATGATGGAGAAAGGCTACTGGAGTTGCACTTGCTACAAAGAGGCTCAATTATATGAGTAATTGTGATAATTTTCTACATTCATAGCCTTCAATGGGGAAAAAAGAATGAGAGCCACAAAGGAAAATTACTTTAACAAGAAAGTACAGAGAGTAAAAATGGAAGAAGAGACAAAAAAAGGGGGAAAAAAACCAGAAAAAAAAAGTTTAAAAAATAGATCTGGAGGGAGGAATAGCGAGACAGGGAGAACAACAGAAATGCTCAAAAGCCCATGTGCAGCTGTGTTGCACAATTAAATTGAATTTTTTTTTTTCTGCAGTTGATGAATGTGACTACTGCAAATGTGCCTCTGTAGTTAGCTATCATTTGTTGTTCCGTGACAGGAAAAGGATAATTACCTCTCAGAGAGAATCAAAGGCTGACATGCCCTTTAGACACAGCCATGAATGCAGAGCTCGATAGAATGCTTGAATAAGAATCTAGTGTTCTCTGCCCCCTTCTACTGAAGAATAAATTTTGTTAAAATGCAAGAGCACCACCAGTAAATTTGTTGAACCCTAGGTGTTCAAAAATATGAGGTACATCTATCGACTCATCCCATTTGCAAAAATAAAACTGCATTTTGAATTCATTTCTATTATATTCATGGACAGTAAGATAGTGAGATATGCATTAAATTTCTTTTCCCAGTAGGGGTCTGATTCAACATTTCCTATGAAAGAACAGAGAGACACTATCCTTTTTTCCCAGGCTAGTTAGCCTATAATTTAAAACTGTCAAAAACACAATTTTGTTCAAAGTCTTCAATAAAAGCTTCTCCGATATAACCCAAAGAGATTTTACTAAAGTTTGATTCAGGCACTGTTACAATATTTTTAAAGCCATAAATACATTTAACTGATATTTTACTGCCTTTTTTCTTAAAGTATTCGAAGGCTTACGAAGAAAAAAGGCAGCATCTTTTCAAGGTGACTAAGCCTTCCATCCTTCAGACAAATGGGAAGTATTCAATGGTTCATATTAATGAGTGCAGTACTTTAAAAGGTACCAATGTAACCATCTTTAACAAAATATGTTACTTTTAAATGAAAACACATATCCTGCACATCTACTTCAAAACAGTTAGGGGAAAAAAAAGAGATCTAAAGTAGGTAACAGATTACAAAGAAAAGTCTTGAATTCAGAAAATACACATACTCTCAAAAAGCAAGCACAGAAGGCTGTGTGGAAAGTAAACAGTGGTTTACAGGAAAAATGAACCAGACCAAAAAAAAAAAAAGATCACCCTTTCAGGCTGTTGGCTAATGCACTAATTTGAAAGGTAAGCCTTGCTTGAGCTAATGCTTTTTATCTTTCTGTCACAGGAATAATTTCACTTCATGCCTTTATAAAATCTAGCTTTTCTCCAGTCTCCTATTCAAGATTTGAGATACTTACCTCTTCTTAGCTACTCTTCCATGTTTGGTATGAGTTTGAATATAAGAACACTACAGAGCAACACGCTGAGCTAAAATTAAAGCAGTCATATAAATATTGCTTGCTGCTTCTGTAAGTTTCTTTGTTGACCTGATATAATTCACTTTTTTGAAATCTTTCTTTTTTTTAAACTCAGGGAACAGCACTGCACCCTGGCAGTTCACATACTGATATCAGACTGAAATGATGGTTCTAAATCACAAAACATGTCATCAACTTTACACCAAGCCACCAATAACCTTTGTACCATCTGCCAACCCTCCCTTTATTTGTCACTGCAAGGCTTACCTGATTGTGTTTCCAATGACAGAGAAGGGAGCCCCCGCTCTGCAAGCCGCAATTGCTTCATCTCTACACCTCCTGGCAACCTCCACTAACTTTTTACCACATTCATCCACATTGCCCACCAAAAATGTTTCAGAGGTGTCTCCATGGTAACCATTGTAGTAAACCTAAACACAGGCAGAAATTTACAAACATGTCCTTGTTTATAAATCCATTCTCCTACAGTCTACATTGCATTCCTTTATATATTTAGTAGATTCACGTGTTTCACCCTTCCAGAATTATTAAGTTTACCTACAAAAAAAGAAGAAATAACCTTACAGAAACATGAAAAAGATACACAATGATATTACAAAGGTTTAAATAAATACATGACTAGCATGGCTCTTTCAGCACTATGATTATCAATATTCTTTAACATTTTGAGTCCTCATTTTATTTCTGAGGCAAAATTATATATGCAAAAATAGTGACCAAAGACATTGACCCATGATTACTACAATAGGTTTAGAGAATTTAGAAGTATTTAACACAGTGAAAAGTTTCTTAAAGTGTCATAAAAATACTTATCTTTTATTTACTAGTCCCACACTTGGAAGTGATAGATAATGACAAGAAGAAATAAGATAGATGTATCAGTGTTATAACAGACAGAAGAAGAATTCAGTTCCAAGAACTGAAGTGGCTCAATATCAGAATGAAGTAAGTTATAGAAAAATCCTGTATGGAAGTAAAACCTTAATCAAATGTTCCAGATAGCAGAATGTTAACAGAAAACACTATACATGGATTTTTAAAGAATCAGAATATAACAAAACAGGTTTAAGAATAAAATTACAGAAAATAGCATTTTATCTGTCTTCAATGACTCAGAAGGCCCTGTAGGATCTTGAAAGACACCATACTCATTATAAAAATCAATAATTACCAAACACTATAATAAATACAGAAGGTAGAGGAGACTGGTTGAATATTGATCCTTTGATATAGCATGGAATTTGCTATTTTGCATAAATTTGTCCTATGTAATTATTTTTCACATTTCTCTTTCTCATGAAGTAGAATGCAGAAACTAATAAAAAAGATGTTTATCTGAGCTTTGTTTTAATATGGAATTAATCTGTATACTCTCCTTCATTAAAAATACTTTTATATGCTTTGTAAGGGAGGCAGGAGAAGTCTTTATCTTCACTTTTCAAGTCAGGAAATGGAGGCACAGACAAGTGACTTGTCTAAGGTTAGTGGCAGAAAACAAGAGGCAGATCCAGGTCAATATGATGGATTCTTGGCTTCTAATCAAGTGTTTTTCCTACTATATCAAGTGACCTTGCAATACAACAGTGTTTTATATATTTATTCCCATTTGTAACCCAAGAGAGTACAAATTTTTACTTTATACACAAGAAGATAACATATATTAATAAAGAGTAATTATTAAGACAAAATTGTAACTCAGAATGTTTCTACAGTTGCTATTCAAGTAAAAATGTATTTAAAAAATCATTATTTGCTTTTTCATATTACTTTTCACTAGTCTAAAAATGACTACTTGAAAGATTCAATATATATGGAAATAATACTTTTGACAGTCTGTGGCAATTACCTATAATTACTGTTTTTATCCACAAACTATTCTTGTTTTATACTTCATTTATTTAATTCCTCACTTATTAATAATTTAATAACATTTAAAATGTTTGCTGAGCAACTATTACGGGTATCACATCATCTTTTTTTTTAAACATTCAACTTTCAAGGGGAAGTCTATTTTCTTGTGATATACACTAGATGTAAACAATGATAAAATGTAATGAGTATTTTCTGATAAGTAATGAAGCCTTTCATTTAATAAAATATTTCATGAGAAATATAATTGAAGTTACTGACCTGTATGTTCCCTTGGTCCCTTCACATTTCCCTCTGCACGTGCTTAGTTGCGTCCAGCTCTTTGCAACCCCATGGACTGTAGCCCGCCAGGCTCCTCTGTCCACAGAATTTCCCAAGCAAGAATACTGGAGTGGGTTGTCATTCCCTTCTCCAAGGGCTCTTCCTGACCCAGGGATCGAACCCACATCTCTTGTGTCTCCTGCACTGGCAGGCAGATTCTTTACCACTGTGCCATGTGAAAAGTCCTCACATTTTGAGACACTCGAGAACATTCCACTTTGATCATTTGAATGTTAGAAATGAAATTGTTTACTGAAAGTCTTCAGGAAACTTAGGAAAGGCAGAGACTATTCTCTTTGGGCACACTGGAAACAGGCGGGAAGAGCATGCTGATTTCATTGAAAGCAGCAATATTTTATTAGGGGTGATTAGGTGAGATAATAAATGGATAGCCTCTAAGTCAGGTATAATCCAAAAGAAAAATGCATCATGAAAAATACTTTATTTCATGTATACTTCATAAAATACCTCCTTCTACATATTCTGAGCTGGAGAGAGAGCAACAATATATGTGGCACAAATGTTCAAGTATTCTAAGTAGGACAAAATGATATAGAGAGTATTCATCATGAAAGAATTTTTGGCTATATACTAAGACAAATTGATATGAAGAGAAAAGGCTGAACTAATTTAAACAACTAAAAACAGACTGAACTAAACTACTGCATTCCAACCTCTACCACATTCCCACTCACATCCAAGTTTCATGACCTGGACATGAAATCACTATTACTAAGGATATTTTCTCACTAATAGAAATGCTGTCTGTCTCAACTAGTTCTCAACAGATATTTACTTTTTATTTATTTATTTATTCAAAATATACTTATTAATCATCAGATATATAGAATTTATTTACAATCTCCATTATCCTAAGGTACCATTACATAATTTTTTAGTAAAACGAACTGCCAAAGCACAAGCAACCTAAGTCTGAGAACTATGAAAGGCTAAGAAAATGAGAAAAGGTTAGAGCTTGTACAGTGTGAGGTTCCTGTGTTAAATTACCTGGGGCTGTTATTTGAAAGAAAGGCTGTTAACCATTTGGTGAAAACTTAAGTTCAAGAGAGAAAAGCACTCTGCGTGTATGCTTCGAGTTCAAGGCTGTCTATACCAGAAATGGAACACAACGTTACCTTCAGGGATTTTAATAAATCTAAGGAACACTGCTAGCAAAAGAGTTTCTGTCCAAATAGACTGACACACACAGGCCAATGTAGCCCCTAATGACAGAGTAAGATAATGACAGGCCCCACTCAAAATCAGCAGGAAGAGGAAGATCAATCTTGGCAGAGTGAAGGAAAAATGCTGGCTTTCTTCGCCTTAGCTCATCTCATATATATCTAGCTTCAGCAGCTGCCCAGTGCTGTAGGGCTCTGCATTAACTACACAGTGGATCAATAACAATTACACCTTCTCAAAAACATGACACATAGCAGGATTGGGTTGACATTTCACTTAGGCCAACATTGATCTCAGTGCATCTGATTCCAGCCCTAAATTCAAGTCAGGCCTGGGTTTACTTGGAATAAACACAGCGTTAAAGACAAAAAAGGAAACCAGCTGCTTGCGTCTGGGTCTGGAAGTAAACAGCACTTCCATCGGCGCATTTCACGTTTTCAATCCACTCTTCTTCCTGTTGCTACCAGCAATTCTGAAGTTGATCAAAGACTGTTTTTTATATGATTTACTCACCGTGACATCAATGTTGATAATATCTCCATCCTGAAGAGGTCGACTGAAACATAAACAGAAAAAAAAATGATGATAGATCCCAATAAAAGGAATATAAAAATAAATACCTAATGACTACCATCAGAAGCCCAATGAATAGTGATGATAATTCAGAGTGGAGAAGGATTGAGTGGAATAACTGTCTCTAATCTTTAACTTATATTAGTCATATTATTTTTACTAGAAATACATAATATGAACATGTATCATCCCTGTTTAAAAATCTACGTACTCTCAACAAAATATACTTATTATTACCTTAATTTTGCAAAGAGCCAAAACAATAGTAGATGGTTAAAAATTTGAGATGGTAAAAGAAATATTTAATGTACAACCACTTTTTCAGATTACATGTTGCTTTAACAAACATTAAATGGTGGTATTATGTCCATTTAGAAACAAAATACTTCAGAATTGTTGCTTTGCCATAATCGGTTTCAAAAGTCTGCAGGCAGGTTTCAATTAAACTATAGTGTCTTTCAACATACATTATAGATCTTAGTTTCATGTTTCAGTTTCCAGAGGAAGAATATGTTATTAAGCAATGAATACCTGTCAGGAATACCATGACAAAGCACGTTGTTTACAGAGGTACAAACAGATTTTGGAAAACCTCCATAGCCTAGAGGTGAGGGGTAGGCATCATGACTGATTATTTCCTGATGAACAAGAGCATCTATCTCTTCAGTTGTCATGTCAACCTGAAATATTAAATAAAGAAATTGTGAAGTGACAGTTGGAGATATCTCCTATATTTATTGACTATGCCTACAACCCTTCCAGAAGAGGTTGTACAAATTTACTGTGATAAACTTGTGATACAACATTTTAATTAATTATGATTAACACCAAAATCCTGAACTGTGCCTTTCTGACAATTGTTTGGGTATATGGTGGTGTTATGGGCTATTAGGAAATGGCCATTTTAAACTCTAAGATCCTTTCAATCACTTGTGAATCATTAAATGACAGGATTCCTTTTTAGCCTGAAGATTTAAAATACACGTTCTGAGGCAATTCCTTCCTCTTCCTCAATGGTTAGTGGCCTCGGCTGATCAAAGCATATAAATTCTCAAAAGGATCTTCAGTTGAGTGCTCGCTTCGGCAGCACATATACTAAAAAAAAAAGGATCTTCAGTTGAGGTGACAAAGCTTGAAAAGTAGGTCAACCCATGCCTTTTTATCCCAGCAAAACATTACATAGGTTTTGCAGTGATGGCATGGAAGTTATGGATCATCATCTGAAAAAGTTAGTTTGATACATTTTGTAGGGATTCTGGTTCACTAATCTTGATTTCTTTCATACCAAAACAAATCAATGTGTTTTTAAAAATATTTTTCCCTTACTAGAAGATATCCAATTGCTCCCAAACTAAAAGAAAACTAAAATCAAGTTTTGTGGCACATAAAGACTGTCTCCATGAACTCATATATCATAAGTAAAAGTCTAAAAAAGATCTTTTATTGAAAATTAACATTCCTTCAACTGTTTTCTTTATGTTATTTTATATTCACATTATGGTTAGTTGTGTTCCTATAATAAGTCTATCACACAGATGTTACACTAAGTGTTTCATATTTGAGTCTCATTTCCTAAATGCTGCCCACCTTTTGGAAAGTATAGATCAGTATTTTCTTTTATGATCTTTACATAGCAGGATTCAGATTCAGTTTCAGATTATTCTGAAAGACCTAAATCTTATAGTAAGATAGTTGCATACAATTACATTGCTGAATTACCTACAGCTTGGTGTGTCTGGTCTGATCTTTCTTTGCAGAACCAATGCAAGAAAATTGGAGACAAAGTATGAGGCAAAGCAACTCTTCAGGCACAAGAAATAATGTGGGGAATAAAAGCAGAAATTACAAGCAGGAGTAAGAGGGCAGAAGTCAAAGATGTCTGTCATGCAGCAACTTGGATAGGCTGACTGAGCCCAAGCTATCTTCTGAATTCTGCTCCTTAACAGTGAATTTGGATTTTAAATTATCTTTTGAATAAACAGAAAATATACAATTCCTGTCCCCTATCCCAAGGTTTTACTTAATTTTTAACAAATTAGATGTGTACAAAAGAAGAGCTAAAGGAAACAGGGAAAGCGGGGGGAAGGTTTGCTGCCTTTTAGGCATGTCTTGCAAGGCTTCATGAGACGCCACCTTTAAACTCTTCCCGGCCAAGAGGAGGACATGTCGGGCCAGCTGACAAGCCTGGCGAAGCCCTTGAATCTGATCTTCATTCTTAACTTCTATGCTGTCTCCCCAGTCGGGTACAATTCCTGTCGTCACATAGTCTGGCTTCTTTATGTGCTTGAGGAAAAAGGATTGAAAACGAAGATCAGAACCCAGCGCACGACAATGGGATCATTTTTTCGCACACAGCCTTCTGCTTCATGGAGCTCTGCCCTTCCTGCCGGAGCACCGACCTCCGAAGCCAGCACAACAGACCCTCCAGGCTGCCCCCGGTTCCTTCCCCTGCCCTTTTGAACTTAACGTGGCCTGTTAGTGCTGCCTCTGGATGGTCTGTTAACCTTACTGGTGCTTTGAGTCACACTGGACTGAAGGAGACTTCTGGTCAAAACAAACAGAAGTTTTCTTTTCTTCCTCCTCCAACCCTGTTAGAATTGCCATTGATGACAAATAGCACCAAGTTCCCCAACCGTCAAATGGTTAATTAAGAGTGCTTTCATCTCCTCGACACAAAGATAAAATTTATGCAAAGGGTAGCCCACAACACCCTCTCCCAATGAATGTATGTAAAAGGCAGACTGTCAAGTTCATGGATGTCTATCAAATACACACTTCCCCTACATGTTGCAACTGTACCCAAACTAAGAAGGAACTAGAGGACAAAACAAAACAGTTCTTTTGCCTTTTCCTTTCTTTTCCCCCAAGTACATAAAAAATACTTTGAACACTTTCATAATTTGTCAAAAACAAACTCCTCCCTCCTCTGAAACTCAAAATGTTCAACTCTGACCACCCTTGGAGAACCTTCTCCCCTACTAACTGAAATTCATGGGGAGTATTCAGAAAATAAATACTGTCTCACACACAGAGCTCCTTTCAGACCCAGGTTTTGCATAGCTCTTTACCAACTATTTATGGCAACTGCTACATGAGTTTTGTTGAACAGCACCCAGTAAGGCTACACAGACTTTGGGGACAGGAAGCTGAGGGCGATAACACTATTCAATGAACATCACAGCAACTGTGGAAGGGCAAAGGTTAGGGCTCCGTGCTTTGTGAAAGGCATCACACAGGATTTAAGGACCTTAACTTATTCCTGTGTTCAGATGGGCCTTTCTGACACAGGTAACACCACGGTTTGGGCTGCCGCAGCCAAGTGTATATTGAGCATCTTCCCTCCTATGGCTTCGGTGCCGGTGCCCACAAAGCGCTCCTGTCTCCACCGCCCCGCCTCCTCCCAGCTATGCAATCTGGCCAGGTTACAACCACAGGCAGAAGGGTTGTTGGCTTGTCACTGAAATTCTAAAACAATACATTTACCTCTCTGGAGAATTCTTTTTTGTTTCAACGAAGGAAACACCAGAGACAAACTCTGGGCTCTGGTGGCCTGTCTTGTCATCTCCTGTCACAAAAATGGGCCACTCAACTTCAGGGAATATGATATACTTAATGTGGATTTACTACCCCGCAAAAAAAGTCATAGAAAGAGGGAAAGCAGGTGATTTTCAAGGCAAATCTTTCTTTCTTTCAGCTATTCTCACTCTTCCTAAATGATCCCCACACCTCCTTTACATTGCATTTGGAAAAATGGATAGATTGTCTTTCACAGAATTATACTCTCTGAAAAAAATCAAGAATGCTTTGAGACAAGATGTTTTATCTAATTTACTCTAAAGGACAACTGAAAGACAGCATTAATAGTAACACAGAAAATGTAAAAGCAAGCTTTAGGAAAAAAACGCCTAGTGTATTGGTTTCAAGGAATCTTTCTTAAACGATTCCAACTGTCGTCAAAAAAATTTTTTTTAAGTTAAGAAACTACATACATAGAATCTTATCTTCATGGTAGAAATTTAATATGGAAAATTTCATGATAGAAATTTAAATTCTAAAAGAATTAAGCAGTTAGAAGCCCAGTGCCTTATTTTAAAAAGTGAATATTATAGAACTGCAGGATGTTAACACTTCCCAAATCACAGTTTTATATCACAGACCAAGTTTAAAAATTATAATTCAGACGGCTCAGAAATCAAAGGTGCAAAAACACCCCATCGCCTCTGCAGTTAACCTTTTTCTTGGCTGGAAAAAGCAACAGATAATAGGCAGTGCAGTACCTTAGGGACTGGATGAGCTGGAGAAACTGCAGCCGGGAAAACTATACTGTGGGAAATCTTTCTTTGTCTCCGGAAAAAGAAATTTCTTCTTTGTTGACGGCTTGACTGCTTGTGTAAGTAGATATGATTGAGTGGTGACGAGAAAATCCTATGACAACCTGGGAGCAGAAATAGACATATGTTAAGTAAAAAAAAACCAAAAAAACCAAAAACCTACTTAGTGCTACATTTTCAGTTGTGTCGTTGTCTATTAAATCATTATAATAATCCTTTATTGGTTCAAAAAAGAAAAAGCTCCAAACAGAAAGGAAAGCAGTGATATTCTGAGCTCTACTACAATAGTAGTACAGCATATTTATTAGCTAATGCTATGTTTACTTAAATGTTTGACAATGGAAAACTCTACCTTAGTGGGAAACAAACATATAGAAACATCTGAGAAATGCCAGGTCTATAAAAAGAGCAATTTGTGCTGTGGTACCTTAAACGCAGACATGTCCAGGATGACCCTAGATTCAGGGCACCGTTTGGGTGGCTTTATATTCTTTAAGGTCGTTTTCCTTTCACAAATCCTGGACAAATTGCCAGCTGCACTTTTTTGCCCTCGATAGGATTACTACTCTGTGTTAAATTCATGTGCAGCGAGGCATTATACTGAAATTCATTGTAATGAAAGCTCAAGTCAGATAAAGACTAAATAGTAAAAATGTAGGGTGCAACCCTGAAAGAAAATGAATGTAGGCTCCAAAAGTACCCACAATTGGAATTCAGAAATATCTATCAAAATTTTAAATGCACGTATCCTTTGACTTGTCGGCTTATCTCCTAGGACTCTACCGTATGCAGTGATGGAAGTGTGACGATGAACTGCAGCACTGTTTGTGGTAGAAAAAAATGAGCAAAAATCCAAATGTCCATCCATAGGGGACTGGTTAAATATATTATGGTAAATCTACACAACAGAAGACAGAAAAGTAGAGTGGTATTAAAGAGAAAAAGCTAAATCATCTCTGCATATTGATATAGGAAGAAGTCACAATATATTGCTAGGAAATGCTGAGCAGTACGTATGAAAAACTCATTAAGGTAAAAAGAGCTTATGCATTTATATAAGTTTGTATATGCCTATAAAATTTCTGAAGATTGATATTCATCAATAGTAGTTATTTCTGGGGCATCTGATTGGGGCTGGGGTGGGAAGGAAGACTTCCTGATTCATTCTATTTTCTCTAAACTAATAGACTTTTAGGAACATTCACTTGCATTATTTTTATAATTAAAACAGTAGCTTAAATCTCCCTTACATGCCATAATTGCATGTCAGGGACTGGCAAACTACAACCCAAAGGGCAAATCCAGCCTGCTTCCTGTTTTCATAGAGCCAACAACTTGAAAATGATTTTTATGTTTATGAATGGTTGAAAAAAATCATAAGAAAAATCCCATTTTATAACATGAAATTATGCAAAATTCAAACTTCAGTGCCCATAAATCCATAAATAGTTATTGGAACATAGTTATACTCATTCACTTATAATTAGTCATGGCTGCTTTTGCACAACAGTAGCAAAGTTGAATAGCTGTGTCAGAGAACATGTGGCTCACAAGGCCTAACATATTTACTACCTGCCCCTTAGAGAAGTTTGTCAACTCCTGATCTAGAGAACTCGTTCTCAAAATGTGATGCCCAGACCAGCATCTGAGTATCACATGGGGAAAAGATGCAAATTCTTGGGCCCCTCCTCAATTTACTGACCCAAACTGTGGCATGAATTCAGGGATCTGTGTTTAACAAACCCTCACCCAGGGTGATTCTCATGCACACTAAAGTTTCAGAATTATTGGCCTAGAGTAATAGAAACACAAATTGCAGGTGAGTATTGGCCCCAAAACTCAAGATCTCTAAGTGAATTGGAAAAAGGCACAGATGCAAACAGACTCCAATGGTCATTGATTCAGTGTCATAGTAGAAAGTTAGTCACTCAGTGATGTCTGACTCTTTTGTGACCCCTTGAACTGCAGCCCACCAGGCTCCTCTGTCCATGGAGTTCTCTAGGGAAGATTACTGGAGTGTGCAGCCATTTCCTTCTCTAGGGTCTCTTCCCCACCCAGGGATTGAACCCAGGTCTCCTGTATTGCAGGAAGATGTTTTACCATCTGAGCCACCAGGGAAGCCTGTCAGGGTCATAAGTTTCACTCAATTATGTTCTTCCAGAAAGTTGAATATAATATTGTTGAATAAAACCTACAGAGCTATTTCAGGTATTATTTTAAACAATTCCAAATACCAGACAAAATACTGCCAGGAATATCACCTTTGTTTGATAGAGGCAGATACATATTCCCTAAAGTTTGTAAAGTACAATATTTCCCTAAAGACACCACCACCATCCCCAGGGGTATTAACTGGTCTAAGAGGGGGCAGGGTAGTTTCCTAGCAAAAGTGATAGCTAGAAATCAGAAGCCTGGACTTTGTCTCAGCTCCACTACTTCTCAGCTGTGTGGGCCTGAGCAAGAATCTTGTTTTCAGTCTCAAGTGAGAATTAATTGGGATAAAGTATGTGCAAGTGCCTTACATTTAGTAGATGCTCAAAAAATAGTAGTTCCTTCAAGAATACTTAAAAAAGCAAAATGAGAAAGAAAACTATGGGCTTCACTATAGCTTCCAGTACTGAGAACTTATGGTTGTTGTTCAGTTGCTAAGTGGTGTCTGAGATGACTGTTTGAGACCCCATGAACCACAGCATGCCAGGCTTCCCTGTCCTTCACTGTTCCCAGCTTGCTCAAATTCATATCCATCAAGTCAGTGATGCCATCCAACCATCTCACCCTCTGCCACCCTCATATCCTTCTGCCTTCAATCATTCCCAGCATTGCGGTCCCCTCCAATGCTCTTCACATCGGGTGGCCAAAGTATTGGAGCTTTAGCTTCACTATTAGTCCTTCCAAAGAATATTCAGGGTTGATTTCCTTTAGGATGGACTGGTTGGATCTCCTTGCTGTTCAAGGGACTCTCAAGAGTCTTCTCCAACACCACAGTTCAAAAGCATCAATTCTTCAGTGCTCAGCTTTCTTTATGGTCCAACTCTTACATTCATACATGACTACTGGAAAAACCATAGCTTTGACTAGACGGACCTTTGTCAGCAAAGTGATGTCTCTGCTTTTTAATACACTGTCTAGGTTTGTCATAGCTTTTTCACTGAGAACTTACTATGTATCAACTACTGCACTAGGCCCTTTACATATGTTAGCTCATTAACCTTCATGAGAGCCATGTAAGTTGTGACCTGTTATCACTCCGCTCCACAGTACAGAGGTACACAAAGGTAAGTAACTCCCCCCAGAGTGCAAAGCTGAGGGGACACAGGTCAATTTGCCATCATAAAGTATATTCTTCTTCCACGCATTAGAAACATGAGCTAACAACACACAAGGAAACACTCTGAAAATGTAAAAGTCATCCGAAAGCTATTAAAAGTTACTATTTTTTTTTCCAAAAGTGGTGATGGGTTGGCCTAATCTGTCCTCTTTCTCAAGCCAAACTCCCTTTGCTGACCAGATACATGCTGCAGGGAGGTGACTGACAGAGGTTTGGCTGGACAGTCTGTCAATTGTTGTCATTGTTGTTCAGTTGCTCAATCATGTCCAACTTTTGCGACCCCATGGACTGCAGCATGCAAGGCTTCCCTGTCCTTTGCCGTCTCCCAGAACTTGCTCAAACTCATGTCCATTGAGTTGGTGATGCCATCCAACCATCTCATCCTCTGTCATCCGCTTCTCTTCCTGTCTTCAATCTATCCCAGCATCAGGGTCTTTTCCAGTGAGTCAGCTCTTCCCATCAGGTGGCCAAAGTATTGCAGCTTCAGCATCAGTTCTTCTAATGAATACCCAGGACTGATCTCCTTTAGGATGGACTGGTTGGATCTCCTTGCAGTCCAAGGGACTCTCAACAGTCTTCTCCAACACCACAGTTCAAAAGCATCAGTTCTTCAGCACTCAGTCTTCTTTATGGTCCAACTCTCACATCCATACATGACTACTGAAAAAACCATAGTTTGACTATACTGATCTTTGCCAGCAAAGTAATGTCTCTGCTTTTTAATATGCTGTCTAGGTTGGTCATAGCTTTTCTTCCAAGGAGCAAGCATCTTAATTTCATGGCTGCAGTCATCATCTGCAGTGATTCTGGAGCCTAAGAAAACAGTCTGTCACTGTTTCCATTGTTTCCCCATCTGTTTGCCATGAAGTGATGGGACCAGATGCCATGATCTTTGTTTTCTGAATGCTGAGCTTTAAGCCATCTTTTTCACTCTCCTCTTTTACTTTCATCACGAGGCTCTTTAGTCTGTGGATACAGAATGGAAAATCTGGATCCCAGCTATCACCAAGGAAAGGCTCAGGTGGAATCAATCCATGATTCTGAGCTCCCTAACTGCATACCTGCTGCTACTGCTGCTGCTGCTGCTGCTGCTAAGTCGCTTCAGTCGTGTCCGACTCTGTGTGACCCCACAGATGGCAGCCCACCAGGCTCCCCCATTCCTGGGATTCTCCAGGCAAGAACACTGGGGTGGGTTGCCATTTCCTTCTCCAGTGCATTACAGTGAAAAGTGAAAGTGAAGTCGCTCAGTCATGTCCAACTCTCCGCAACCCCATGGACTGCAGCCTACCAGGCTCCTCCATCCTTGGGATTTTCCAGGCAAGAGTACTGGAGTGGGGTGCCATTGCCTTCTCCGAACTGCATCCCTAGGTAGGACCAAAGTCAAGCTCCCAAATGTTTCCCTTCTGAGAAAAGCACGTATTATGATGACTATTAATGACAATAAGACTAACAAAAGTAGTAACAGTGATAGTGGTTAACACTTCATAGCCAGTTTCTATAATTAAGCAGAGTTCTGGGTGCTCCACACACATGAGCCCTTGCCAATGCTGTTAGGGACTGGGACAGCTGTTGATGTCACTACTTCATGGAAGAGGAACCAAGACACACCTCTGGTGGCCCCAGCAAGAGTCCTGGAAGTCCCAATCCAGGGCTGGGTCTGCTGCTCCAAGCTGCCTTTCAACAGTGTGCACGGGCTCTACTAGCTGGCATGCTTGGCTAGAAAGTGTGTTTTTTCAGGGATTCAATTTCAAAGAAATTTTTTTTTTAATCATGAAA